GCAGAGAATACCTTCAAACTGCAAAGCGAATGCTTAAACGAAAACAGAGGCTTAACTAGTATACTGATGAGCAAAACTGTTTTTCAGTTATACAAGTAGTGTCGGAATGGGCGATAATCAGTCATATTTTCATTTCAGTTCTCACTCATGATCTTTACAAATCCAATTTTGGTGTCCTTGTCGCTGAGAACAACGAATGGAGAGCCTGATCTTGGCCAGGGCGAAATACGGCATTAGGATACCTTTCCAAGATAAGACGACATCTAATGAACATTGGAATGATCGGCTATCGCGGTTATGGCAATCGAGGATAGGATAGACCAATAGAGATAGAAATCTGTCAAGAAGAGCTATACCAAAAACGCTGACCAAAATGACAGGCTTCGGGACACCATCTGTATACGACTGTCTTCAGAAAAATTCTTTTCTCGAAGTCATCTACCCAAAACTCCGTCAAACTGTGCAGACAAATATACATTTTTCAAAATTAATAGCGTCCCACAGACTCCAGCATTTCATGACAAAATTAATTCAAAAAATTTTTATTTGAGATCGAATATGGTAGACAATTACTTTACGTAGGAGATATGATGTTTAGGAATGTCAGAGACGGGAGGCGACGCATAAAATATTCTTTTAACAACATGGTCATCTGACGTTTTGGACCAAACTTGGTCTATCTTTAAAGTTACAACCCCTAAGTTACAACTGCTAACTTGCCGCTGTGGATATGACTGGTTGTTCGGCTGAATAAAATTGAGAGGTTCATTTGAAAACGGGTCCCGTTTTATGACATCATGACATCATCATCTGAGCGTTAGTTAAAATTATGTTACATAACGCAAAAATAACTTTGCTTGCCATGACTAAGCTAAATCTAAATTCATGCATAACGCGAGACTTTTAACGTAATTGCATTACGTTAACTACTTATGTAAGAGTCCAACATGTGCACACCATTAACTGTATGCATAACGGCAACGGATCTTGGAATTGTTACCGCCCACAATGGTGTTTTGACCGTACCGATATGGAAATCGACCTAAACTAATTTGCTTTTCAGTCCAGACTGATACTTTTAGCATATTACTCTCTAAACATCACAATACATCAAGGCCGTAGTCTAAGCTTAGACACGCGGAAGACTATGCTAAGAACTGAGAGTAGGGATCTACATGGTAATAATCCAG